CTTCTTAACATTCTACACAATTTCTTTATCTACCTGTATCGTCAGATGTGCTCCTTCCATTTATTTTATTCACTTTTCTTAAATCTTTCTAAATTTTAAAAGATCCCTTCCATGTATCCAGAAGCAAATCTATTTCTGAGCAGACACACTTTTAGGTAGTTAAGATAATCTAATGAGGAGAAAGGAAGAGAGATGCTGACCTTGCAAAGGTGGTGTCTACAGAAGATCCTTATAGCAAGATGTGGCAAATAATTCATAGTTCATTTGCATAAAACACCAACCTTAGTATGAACTTTAGTCAGGCTTTTTGTGGCTTATTATGTCTTGAGAACCCACCCCCTTTAGGATTTAATGCAACAGAGCCCAGAAAATTGGTTAATTCAGTAGCACAATAAAAGACATCCGCGTGAATGCAGTGCATTTTTCCTACATTAGATTGATGGCTTTTTTCTCTCATTCAGTTCCTTTCTTTCTCAGACATATGCATATACAGTGGAGTCTCAGGTCACAACCAGAATCCGTTCCCGGACTCTGGTCGCGACCTGATTTGGTCGTGTCCGGAAGCACGACTGACTGTGCATCCGCGCAGTAAAACAATACGGCACCAGAGGGGAAATTGGCGCGGAAAGGGAATCTTTTTGTGCCGATTTGGTTCGCCACCCGATTTTTGAATCGTAACCCGATTCAAAAATCGGATAGATTTTTTGTTCGCCACCCGATTCAATCGCTAACAGGAGCGTTCGTGACCCGAGTTTCCATTGTATTCTAAGAAGGGGAGCATCTTTCCAATAACTTGAAGGAACACAGGAATTATACAGGTAGTCCTCGACTTACAACAGTTCATTTAGTGACCATTCAAAGTTACAACGGCATTGAAAAAAGTGACTCACCACCATTTTTCACACTTATTATGATTGTTGTGGTCACGTGATCAAAATTCAGATACTTGGGAACCGGTTCATATTTATGCCCGTTGCAGTGCCCCTGAAATATATGGGATCACATTTGGTGACCTTCCAACAAGCAAAGTCCAAATGGGCAAGCCGGATTCACTTAACAATCATGTTACTAACTCAACAACTGCAATGATTCACTTCACAACTATGGTAAGAAAGGTCATAAAATGGGGAAAGTCTCACTTAATGAATGTCTCACTTAGTAACATAAATCTTGGGCTCCGTTGTGGTCATAAGTTGAGGACTAACTGTTGTAATCATCCCCTGATTTCTGAGTCCTAGAGCATAGAAAATATGAATGAAATGTGAAAGAACATTCTACATTCTCCTTTTTGAAATAGTCCCATTCCATTCCTTCATCCCCAGAAGAAACACCAACAAAAAGATAAGCTGATTTATGTTAAACATATTTTGCAAAATTGGGATAATTTTGAGAAACTTCAGATGCGTTGGGTTTCTGTGACGGTCAGAACAGAATTCATACTGAGAGTGGATGAGTTGAGATAACAGTTTGCTAAATCAGGGGTCGCCAACCTTTTGGACCTCAGGGACCACCAAACTCATAATTTTAAATCATGTGGACCACTAATATGAATTTTGACTGATAGTGGCTTGCTGACGTTGGTGGGAAAGTCAGTCCCATATTCCAGAGCTGCTGTAGTCACAAGATTGGCCCTTTGGCATCCTGGAGCTCTGCAGAAAAAGCAGAAGCAGCAGACCCTGGGAAAATCCCAAAAAGACTGCAGGAAAATTCCCCACCCTGTTTTCCTACCCATCGATCATTCTTTATTTGGTATCGCAGGATACCATCTCCAGCATCACTTTCGGGGGGGGGGGGGGGGGGGAGAGACTTTTGGCTTCATGCAATGAAAGCAGTTCTCGTAGCAGTTCTTAGAAAACAACCAATCAAACTAATAGAAAAATTAAAAAGTATCATCAAAAAATAAATCTATTTTTTTCCAACTCAACACTACTACTTAACTGATTGTTACATATATTTAATAGTTTTAAATATAAAAAATGTGTTTTTAAAAAATAGAATTACATATTTTATGCCTGTTCATATTTCTGGCAGATTATCCCAAGAACAACTTTTCCATATCACAGTTGAATTTTATATATTATACCTTAAAGCAGAAGACCTTAACAGCTACTTATAATTTCCATTTTGAGCCAACAATTCCTTTATGATGAATCTTTGAAGAACAGCAGAACAATCCTAGAGAACATGTTAAGCCAACATATCCAATGTTTTAAGAAAAACCCTCTCAATCATATTTACACACACATATCATATTTTATAGGATATGTAGAAGTCTTGGGAAGTACTGCTGGTAAACTATATAGCATTTAAAGTGTATTACGAGCACTGTATTTCATAAATATTTTCAGATGAAAAAATGTGACAGATTGAAATTAAAAAAACTCATATGGTCATTGCAGAAGGAGCTTTCTCTAAAACAAATGGTACTTACTAAAATTAGTTAAGGATCTCCAGCAACTCTAAAAAATTTGCCTGCCAAAGATGGTTTGGAAAAAAAACAACACATCTGGGTAAGGAAGTTAGGGACAATAAAAAAATGTTTTTGTCATTTACTACATAGGTAAATGGTCTATAGGTAGATGGTCTGAAAAATTCTCTACTGCACGAGATTAAGCTGATAAATTTTAAGCCGTCTCTTGTTTTTAAAAAAACCCTAAATATTTCAACCTCTATATAAACAGAAGTGACTTTTTTTATTCCGCAACTTTAATGCAGTTCTGAAATCAATACTTGTCTTGAACACTACTAATTAAGTCTGGGCTGTATGATAGCAATCAACAAACTAGACCAGAGAAGGATAACAAAGATAATTAAGGGCTGGCAGCCAAACCTGGCAAAGAAAGGTTGGTGAATATGATAGCTATCTTTAAACATTCAAAGGATTGGCACAGGGTTGATGCAGCAAACATGTTCTCTGCTGTTCAGGAGCAAAATTACTATGCTTAAATTACAGGGGAAGATGACTTTAATTCAGTATTAGGAAGAACATTCTGATAGCATGAGGTGTTTGACAATATGAAAAACTATCTCCAAAAGAGATGGTTACTATTATTATGTTTGGTCACAGTCATTCAGATTAGACTGGATATGCATTTTTGTTCTCCTATTGAGTCCTTCCCCCAAACCTGGGCTATGCAGATATTATTGTTTAATGATATTAAAAGTATTGTCACAGGATGTAAGCTATTTCAAGTAAAGCTGCCTTTTGTAATTAACTGGTGGTGGTTCAGATTTGGGGGGGATTGTACCCAAGGCACCCATCACTATTGGTATTATCTTTGCTTTCTTTTGCCACAATAGTTCTTATATTTACATTATTATTTTCATTTGTGGGGAGCGTAAATGTTGAAACCAATTAGCCATTTTGTCAAGGCTACGGTGGCAAATGAGATGTCAGGTCCCTACCAGCTTTGGAATGCATTTACCATTACACCCATTAGTTTCTCTTAAAATTCTGGAATTCTATAGATCAAAATAAATAGACTTGACAACTTAACTAAACACAGTGTTAGACTTAAGAGAGTAGATGGGACTACAGAAGAACAGATGGAGAAGACAATTTCATAAACATTGAAAGACTATGGAAGGGCATGCTACAAGAAAATCACCTATAGACAAACACGATGCAAAATGCTTCCATTAGAAAATTTATATCCATGTTTTGCTCATGTATATCCATATTCACTCACATCTTTCCTTCTTCTTCTTCTTCTTTTTCACATTAACAAGAGTGTATCTAAATTGTACCAAAGAGATTCAAAGGCAAAGTCACATATGAATCAGTTTGTTTTATGAGCAGCTGCCTAAGCAGTCCCAGGTCAAATATCCTAATTCAGAAGAGATCATAATCAGGTACATTAAAAAAAAAGTTGTACAATCAGGGAACTCTTTTAAGAAAAAAAACAAAAACAAATCAGTCATGAAATACAAATACATGTTAAGCAGCCTTTTGTTCCCCTGTGGTTGGTTCATTGAAGAGCTCTGCAGTGGGAGCTCTGTACTTTTAAAGAAGCAGTTAGAAAATTTGGATATCGTCATGTCCCTTATTGATGTGTTGATTTAAAATCTGGCCAGATATCTACCCCAATATAAAATCAAAGAAGGTTTTCCTCAGAGAGAGGTATCAGCAAGCAATGGCCACTAAAAATCACTCTGTGGTTCATTCAAGTGTAAACTGAATGTCACTTTTACTTCTTGTTCCCTCTTCTCTGAATACGAGATAAAGGAACAAAATAATTTCAGAATGGTTTGACTTTGAATTGTTCCTTGAATAATTCCTTCTGCAAATTAAACATCCTTCTGTTTTGGCAGCTATCTGCAAACCATGCTGCTATAATGAAACAATAAGTAAAGATAATGTCTGTTTACAGCATGGCAAAAATTCCCAGTTTCCTGAACTGACAGTAATGTATTGCTGGAATAATTACGGAAAGTCTTAAAATGCATTCTTCCATTTTCATGGTTAAAGTCTGGGGTGTACTTGCATCTCTGGGAAACATGGGATCACTTAGATTATGGGCTGGATGTCTAGGATTACTTCAGGACACAGCTGTGTAAAGGGGGATGGACGATACAAGCAAGCTGAAATATTTTCAATACTGATAGTTCTCGGTTAACAACAACAATTTGGACGGGAATTCCCATCGCTAAGTGAAGCAGTTGTAAAGAGCAATGTCACCTAACTGTGCTGCTGACTGACAGAAGTTCTGGCTCTTGTTACTATTAAGCAAATATCATAATGCTGTTAACTGAGTGATGTGGCTGCCATTCATGACCTCCAGTTAGCTGCCCCATTGACTTGGCTTGTCAGAAGCCTGAAGTGACTGTCACAAATGGCAATCAAGGGACTGTGGGATGCTGCGACATTGTCATTGCAAGCTGATTGCCAAGTACTTGGATCGCAATCAGATAACTATGGGGATTGCTGCAAGAGCTGCAGCTTCAAGAACTGATTATATCTATATATCTATATCTATATATCTATATATCTATATTACTCATTCTGCTGAACAAGTGATTGTTGAATGAGAACCAGCCTTCAGATATCGATCGTTTAAAATTCCCAACAATATTTACTAGGAACATTTTGCACAGAAATTATACAAAACATAACTCCCATGACTACATTTCTACACAATTACTTTTGCAAGCAGAAAGAGAATCCTCCTGAAATAATACGATGGGGGAAATCTAACGAGATGCTCTACATCAGTGGTCCCTCATCTTTCCAGCTTTGTGGACTGGTGGCGGTGGCCAGAGGAGGGGGAGAGAGAGGTTGGTTCCACAGAAATGGAGCTTTGCGCACAAGCGAATGCGCCTGCCTCACGCACAAGTGGAGCTTTGCCCGTGGGCAGGCTCGCCCACCGCTTGCGCAGCCCGGTTCTGAATGGGCCGCAACCCGGTATGGAGCCGCGGCCCAAGGGTTGGGGGCCCCTGCTCTACTTTCTACATCAATCTTCCCCAACCTAGTGTCTTCCAGGGAGTGTTACAACTCCTCTGATCCTACAGCTGTTAATGCTGACAAAGAATTCTGAGTGTTGCAGACGTTCTAGCAAATCTGAATGGCATCAAGCGACCAAAATGTTAAGAAATAAACACTGACGTGATCATATATAACAGATGGTGAAGAAGAAAAAAAATGTAACAAGAAAAATATATAGGGGGAATCATGTCCCCCCAAAATGCCACTGAGCAAAACCAGAAGCGGGTGGACCCAAGGGATTTCACACTGATGGTTGCAGTGTGAGTCAACAGAACCCATTTTGTATAGGCTGGATGCCACAAAACCAGGAAATGTGCCACCATGCAACTGGACTTCCCATCCAAGTTGATCGATGGTAGTTCATTGTTGCCAGAAGAAAATGAGCAAATGAATGGCTCTGGAGCATGGTGAAGCGATAAGTTTCTCAGCACTTGGGTGACGGGCTGTGCCTGTCAGCATGATCCATGCTGCAGCTGTAGTGAGACACGAAGGCACCTGCAAAGTCTACAGCTTGCTGGACGGGATGGGGAAATATTGATGTGCACATCTACAGAAAAAAGAAGAGCAACTGCCTGGAAGCCACTGGCCTCACTTTAAATAATCCACAGGTGAAGGATGAATTGCAAATGTACCTTAGAAATCCATTTCACAGTCATTCTTCACAACATCATGCTCAGATTCTTGCGTATCAGCGTATGCATTCTCTTCCAAGACATACTGGCACTGATTGTAGAGAGGAAAACAGGCTGAGAATCTTGTACAACGAGGTGATTTTCTTGGCCAATCAATTATGTCTACAAAGCAGCTGGTGTCTTAAAAATGCCCAAGTGTCCTTCGTAGTGTTTCAGTACTAATAACATTGGACGCTTTCCCTTGGAAGAGCTGATGCACTGAAAAGCATGACTTGTTTTATTGTTAAAACCCTTTTTTCCCACCGACATTTTTCCCTGCCTCCAACCTCTACCAGCCTGAGAAAGTTCATTGCATTTTGTTGTTGCTTTTAAAATCTGCAGAAAAACAGATGCTCTGCAGGATTCACATTCACCAAAAAAAAAAAAAAAAGGCTATGCATGGCCTATAAATACATGATTTCATGAATCTGGAATTTAAACTGATTTCTCCCAAGGACAGCATAAATTTCATTACCCATAGTGATTGACATGAGAGCTCCTACATCCTGTGATTATTTTTCAGGTCCCAAAGATTTCTTGTGTAGACTCACAATGGCTCACAGTTCTAATGCAGTGTATGCAATACAGGGACTTAGGCAGTATGGAGACTCTTTTTTGTGTGATTTTTGCACATTCCGTGTCGAAGGCAAAGCTCCTAAATTCCAGTGTATTGCCTACCCTATTTAATAGTAATTTTGTTCTGAAATGAGCTTTGTCCCACTGGAATGTTCAGCACCAGTTTCTGTGTTATACAAATATACTAATGTGTTAAGAGAGAGGTTTCCAAGGGTCAGGAAGTAAATTCTCTAAAACCATCTAAACCTCCACTGTGAGTTCCATACTCCAATCAACAGGACTAGACAAGACCGTCCAAATACTATAAAGAAAAGCTTCAAAGAAGCAAGATTTGCAGTCACAGATTCTGGAACATCCTCCAGGATGCGTGCAGCTGTAGCATCCCCAACAGAACTGGTGGATGTGCAGACATCAGTCTCTTATTTTCTCTTTCTGAAAACTTCTTCATCCTTGCTCTCCACAGCAGAAAGTGCAATGAGCATTTGAGCCGCATAGTAAGTGACCATGATAATGACCCTTGAGTAGGGGACAGGAAAGCAGAATTTGTTGACCGCAATAGTCAGGTCAGATACCATGAAAAGCACAGAACCGATGCAAGCAGAAAGCTTGGTCCAAGTCCAAAGGTCGTTGCAGAGCTGCACACCAGCCATAGCCCGCCAGCCCATGAAGCCAATTAAGGCAACGTAGACAGCTACCAAATAGGTAAATGGGCCTGAAAGGTAGAAATACAGGAAGGTGTAGCAGAAGCTGGACACCAAGCCAATCCCAAGGCCAACTTTCAGATCCCAAGGTTTAATCCCAAATGCTGAGGAATACAGTATGTGTGTAATACCGAACATCAACAAGCCTGGGGAAGGAAAACAAATGCTCTGAATTAGTAGAGAATAAAATACTTAACATAGCTTTACAATTATAATTTCAGAACATTGCTCAGCAAAAATTACAAGTGAAAAATCATGTGTGCTGTGTGCTAACTATGGGAATAAGTTTTAGCTTTTCTTAAAAAAAAAAAAAAACCTGTCTGGAGTTACCAGGTGTCAGCTTAAAAAAATCCAGGGTAACTCCTAGAGATACAGAAAAATTGTAACGCTGCTGCCTTTTAGTAACTATTGGATCTTTTGAAACCCAGATATGGCCTTCCTAAAATCATAGACTCATGGGGGCTGGAAGGGACTTTGAAAGCCTTTTAATCTAATCTCCAGCCCAGTGCCATTCTGGACAAAAGGCTGTCCAACATTTTCTTGAAAATCTAATTGCATCAGTGTGGATGAAAAAATGTGGAATAGAAAATGTCAGCTTCAACTCTGCAGTAAGTAAAAAGAATGTAAAAATGACTATGCCATTTCAGACTGACAGAGAAATTCTCACACAGTCAAAAGAAAATACCTTATATTTATTCTGTTCTGCTTTTTTTAAAAAACAAGAAATAGATAGAAATTGTCTCTCCCACTCCAAGAAGAATGGCCTCTAGCCCTTTGCATCACATGGGTAGGAAAATAGGTACAAGAATCTGAATCGTGATTTTATTAGAAACAGAGCTTAGGTTTAATACCCAGCAGTTGGCAGAATTGTTTGTGTCTTTGGAAAACTGTTCCACCTGGCTAGCCAAGGAGAGCCTGACCCAGACCCAGATGTCCTCATCTATACAACCACTAGTGCACCATGGTAAAACTATTTGGAGATGGGATGACTGGCTTAATTCCAATACTGAAAGAATACCTGGGATTACAACAAAAATCTACAAAATTTATTGTAAGGGGTGAAAACTAGAGAACGTATATTGTAGGAAATGTATATTGTAACTGTAACTCTTAAAAAAAGAGTCGATGTCTCCTGCCAGAAAAGATGTCACAAAAAGTAACATCTTCGTTGCTTCAAGGGTAATCGGGATGTATGCATGACAAACTAAAAATACTACAGATCCCTGACACCTATTGTGATTATGAATTTGTTTCTTGATTTATTAATTCAACATTTGGGCAGGAGTGATTTAGAAAAATTACTTCAGGATGCAAAGGGATGACAAAGACTACAATGAAACTATGAATTTCATCATGGGACCAAGAAAATAAAAGGAACAGACAACAGAAAAGAAAGATCCCTCACTATCCAATAGATCTATTCCTGTAAGAGCCACTTAATCCACTTTCTCCCCATTCTGCAATTCAAATCAGGGTAAAATTGGACTGAAGGTAAAAAGAAGTTAGGGCATGCAGTGACATCCCTCCATGTAGCAACATGACATTTTCTTGTCTCAGTCGCTTGTTAAAAGGTAAAGGTAAAGGTTCCCCTCACACATACATGCTAATCATTTCCGGCTCTAGGGGGCAGTGCTCATCTCCATTACAAAGTCGAAGAGCCAGCGCTGTCCGAAGACGTCTCTGTGGTCATGTGGCCGGCATGACTAAATGCCGAAGGTGCATAGAACGCTATTATCTTCTCACCAAAGTGGTCCCTATTTTTTCTAATTGCATTTTTATATGCTTTTGAACTGCTAGGTTGGCAGAAGCTGGGACAAGTAATGGGAGCTCACTACATTACGTGGTGCTAGGGGTTCGAACCGCCGAACTGCTGACTTTTCTGATCAACAAGCTGAGCATCTTAGCTACCGCATCCTTCATTCGCTTGTTACTGCTCCCCATATCTCTAGTTGTATACTAACGCTTCACACAGAAACAGACTAATTCCAGTTCTGGTACCAAAACTGGGTGTTGATTCCCACTCATTTATCCTTGACAGCAACCGGGCATCTTTCCCAAAAGGTTCTGTGTCTCCTTCATAGCAGACAAACTCACTAACCGTGAATAAAGTAACCCTGCTCTTGCCAGATGAGGAAAGCATCTCCCAAGGCAGAGAATATCAAACCAGCGAAGATCCTACAGGCATTGTGATGGGCTGTCAGGAAATTGATCCCATGGGCCAGCAAGAAGACCCATAAGCAGAAGATTGGCAAACACTTGATCAGGGCACTGAACCAGGAAGGGCTGGAGGTTGGCAACCAGAGGACAAAGTAGACACAGGTGGCTTTGAAAAAGGGCACGAGTTTAGGACCTTCACTCTTCACCTAGAAGAAACAAGAAGTGGATGTTAAGGTCTATTCAATAGGCATTGAGCCCCAAATAATAGCGGTAAACAACAGGATCAAATCCTTCCTCTGAGTCTAGACAGCCTACTTCCCCTATTGTTCACAAATCTTGTTGTTCAGCAGCATTTTCAAAAACAAAAGTATCTTGAACTTTACCATACTTTCACCCTCTCCATACGCCATTAGCTGTTTAGCCACAGAATTTTTCCATGCCAAGAACAGACGTTTACTTCCTGCAAAGGATCTGCATCTTGGAAATCCATCTGTCTGATTACGATTAGGGTTTTTAAATGTACTGTAATAGCGTTTGTATACAGGAGTGAAATTTGTTCTAAATGAGTTCCGAAGTTTAGTTCTCTCTCACACAGATATGCACTCATACATAGCACATGTATAGTCTACTCTGCACATACTGTACATGCGCAAACAAATATAATTTTCCAAAACCATAGCAGCAGCAGGACATATGCTGCTTTGTAAGTTTCTGGAATCATTCATTTATTTATATGCATATATAGGAAGACAGAACCTTGGAAAGTCTCGTGATGTAAGGAGTCCTTCGAGATGTGTGGGCCTTTACCCTTTGAGAGTCTCTGGTCACCGTGAAGGATTAGGGAATATTAGACTGGATCAAGAGCAGACAATGGTTTTTAGCCAAGATCAGAATGACTTTTAAAAAATTACTTTGGCTTACAAGGTGAGCAAGAGGGTATGTCCAGTGATGTGGCAATGCCATTGAATGCATGAAAATGAAATTTATTTCTGTATAAAGTTTGCTTGAAAATAGAGGCGGGGCAGCCAAACTAGCAATAGTCAGCCATTTTGCAGCCAGATGGTATAAAATGGGTAGGGAGCAGCATATAATTGCAGCCCTGGATTGCTTGGCCTTTCCTAAGAAGTTAACAAAAGGCTTCAACATGCCATTACCACCATCAGGATCCTCACACAGCTATAACCACACATCCACTGTCATTCAATAAACATTTCTCAACATAATACTAGGTAGAATCAAATTTCCGGATAGTTGTTAATTATGTGCATTCCCTTAATTGTGTGAATTTACCTTCCCTACAATCTCTTTTTAATTGCTTTAGAAATATGGATAGTCCTAGCACTTTTCTGACAGAGAATGTTAATTTGTGATTCAACCTCATTTTTCATCAATTTGCAAGATTAAGGCTGCAAACGATTAGGAATTTAAATTCAGAGTGACCCAAATAAACATTGGCCTTAATTATGGCTATAATACATCCATGATTCCATGACAGGAATGATCCCATTTCTGAGCTGATTCTATGCAAACCCACCGCTATGATTTGTTTGGCAAATTATGTCCCAAACCTTCTACATTTTCGATGAATAACACTGCATTTTGCATTACCTCATCATATTCAATTTGTTTGCTATCATCCTTATGACAATTTTAAATTTATACTCAAACACTGACATTATAGATGGGGTAGAATTTGTTTTACAATAAGCACACAAAAGATCAGCCTTAGTAAATCTGCACCAAAGAACCTGTGTTGTTGTTTTTTAACATGAGCTGGATATGTGTAAATATTTAGAAATAGCACAAGGTGTTCCTTCAAAAGGCTTTTCCAAAGCAATTCACTTTTATTGGCACTTTAAAATATATCATTTCACACTGATCTCTACAAGAGCAATAACATCTACTACAATTGCTGTAAGATAAGAAAAAAACTAGAAAAAACTAGAAAAAACATTTACTAAACATTTACTAAACATTTACTAAACATTTACTAAACAACTAAGTTGTTTTATTCTTGTTTGGTCTCCCCCTGAAAAACATGTATTGCTGATCTGAGAAATTTTTCAGTATTTTACCCAAGACATGATTCACAAATTCAAACTGGCATTGTCCATCAACACACATTCTAATTCAGTGACAATAAATCTTATTCCCATTTATAAAAGCTCTGGAAAACATTCAAATCAATATGTATAAATAACGCATTGACCAACTTGTTTAAAAAAGAGCAATGAAAACTTTTTTTCCCCATGCAAGTTACTCAGAAGAAATTATATAACCTGAAAATAGGGGGTAGCTTCTCTGAAAATGGGTATTTTCTATGGATGGGGGCCCTGTGACAGAGAGATTTATTCTATTAATATTGATATAGAGAAACAGCTTAACAGAGGCATAATAGGTAATAATAGAATAGAGACATGCAGATGGAAGATGCAAGATTGACTTGCCATCTTTCCTTCAACCAAATGGAATGCTCCCCTTTTAGGTAAAACTCCTGCCAAACAGATTATTCCATTCTTCCTATACAGGTAGTCCTCGACTTACGACCACAATTGAGCCCAAAATTTATATTGCTAAGTGAGAAATTTGTTAAGTGAATATTGCCCCATTTTACAACTTTCCTTGCCACATTTGTTAAGTGAATCACTGCAGCTGTTAAATTAGCAACACCGTTGTTAAGTGAATCTGGCTTCCGCATTGACTTTGCTTGTCAGAAAGTCACAGAAAGTGATCACATGAGCCTGGGACACTGTAATTGTCATAAATGTGAGTCAGTTGTCAAGCATCCAAAGGTAAATCCCATGACCTCGGAGATGCTGCAAGGGTCATAGTGACCATTCTGAAAGAAAAACGGTCATAAGTCTCTTTTTCCAGTGCTGCTGTAACTTCGAATGGTCACTAAATGAACTGTTGTAAGTCGAGGACTATCTGCACTTTATTTTAGTTTTCCAATGCTTAACCTACATTTTAAAGCAGGGGTGTCAAACTCAATTTCATTGAGGGTTGTGTTTGACCTTGGGAAGCCAGGGTGGGTGTGGCCAGCTCGATGTCACTCATTGACGTTCTGTTTTCAGCTGCGATGGCCTCCTGGAGCCCTCTGCCAGCAAAAATGGAGCAGCCACCCCAGGTTCTGTTTTCACTGGCAGAGAGTTGCAGGAGGCCATTAGGGCCGAAAATGGAGTCTTGGAGGGCCTTCACTGTTTCCAGGGCGGACCCACAGGCCAGATCTAAGCACCCCGTGGGCTGGGCCTTGAGTTTTAAAGTATAAAGCATGAGTGGTAATAACTGGACTGTGTTGAGTGGATTTTATCTTTCTGAGTGTTTTTAAAATAATTTTTTTGTATCTTTGCAAATCTGGGATTTTTTCCAAGTAAACTCTCTTCATTTGTTTCTTATTGTTCTGAGTTTAATTTCTGCCCTGTTGATTGGTCACTTCCTTCATTACAGAGCAAGCTTTAATCCAAACTGTGATTTACCTCTTCACTTCTGACTGTTCTCTCAGTACAGTATTACAATAAGGCTATTAGATCTGAGCTAATTTAAAAAAAAATATTGGATAGGATATAAGAAATTTAAATATTTTTAAATTTCAGGACACTAATTGGAATGTCCTGCCTTACAAAATCAATGATTCCATTTTTCATGAATACCAAATATATTCCTTACGAGTTAAAAGGCTAAACCAATTCAATAAAAATTGGGTAGGCTTATTGTTAATGTAATAAATTTGAAGGCACTTTAATATGCATGATTTGGCCATGCTCCTTTCTGATTTGACATTAACACTTTGGTGGAACAGGTGTTTTGGGATGAAATAAAATCATTTACTATATCATATACTATATATTGGTAAATTATATCCAGAACTTTGAAATTTATCTATGTATGAGAAACATTGGTTATATTGCACTTCAACAATGCTCCTGAGAAAAAATGTGATTATGTACTACTTCAAGAATATTTGTTCCCCTGAGTCTAAAGGGTAATTTAATAAAATTTGTCAACTCTCAGCTTTTAAATTGGCTCTATGGCAACAAGGGAAAAATAAGAACATATGATTCTGTGTGGCCTAATATTCTTGTATTGTAGAAAATTAGATAAATGTCATTGTTTATGTCTTTCCTTTAATCTTCTTCCCTGTATTTATTTCTTTTGTACCAATGCTATCTTGTAGCTTGTAATATTCAGAGTTTGAGAGAAAGAGAGACTGGTCAAATGGTTAAATGGCACTTGCAGGCTCTGCTTTTTGTTTCATTTTTATATTTGTGAAGAAATTCATTAAAATTGTGCGTTACAAAATCTGGGCTACAAAAATCTAGTTAGCTACTAGAATGCAGCACAGATACAGAAATTTCTTAACACTGTATTGCAGTACAGTATATGTTAACCTCAGATTATGCAGTCTATACCAGGTAATTGTAACGAGGAACTGCTGCAATTTCTTCACATAATCAATTGTGGAAAGAAATATCCATCTGGTTCAGTTCCAAGCTGGGAGAAAGACACTGGAAACATGGAAGCTGACTGGAAAGAAGGTTTAATATTGAACAGAACCACCAAGCACATGGTTCTGGTGCAGCTGACTAAATGGAGTTGGGGGGGGGGGGTATACCTTATTTGAGCTTTGCACTTGAGCTTTCTGTTCCTGTGCAAGAACATGTGTTCTATTGGCTGATTCCTATGGAGTCATGTAGGAATTATGTAGGGGTCATAGCTGGCTCCATAGGCAAAAGAGGAAATGCAAATCCTAGGTGCTTGTCTGAATTACATTTGTTTGAAGTTTGGACTGCTCTCAGGGTGATGCAATGAAGGCTTGTGTTCTGAAAGGGTGTTGGGCAATTCCTATTGTGGCTTAATGGCTTTCGTCCTGTTTTGGCTCTTGGGTGAGGCCTAATCCTATCACTGCCTTTGTTCAGACTTTGCTTCAGGAAATTTCAAAATATCCTGTCTTGAATGGATTTCTGCCTGCAGTATTTGCTTTGCCTATGAGTAGAGCTATCTAGTTTTCAATAAGTTCTTTATCTCTTAAATGCTGACATCTGCTGTGGGGTATTAAGGAAAGTGGGAGTTGCTTTCTGCCTCTAAAAAACATGTTTCTCCAGTTCCCCCTTTGGGAAATATAATATTCTGCCCTTTTTAAAATATTCCTCAAAGTATTTCATTCTTCTAGGAGGGGTGTGGCTTCCCACACAATATTATCTGAGAG